CATGCCCGGAGGCCGGCCGGCCGCAGCATGGCTCACGGGCCCGGCGCGCTGATGCTCAAGTGCGTGGTGGTCGGCGATGGGGCGGTGGGCAAGACGTGCCTACTCATGAGCTATGCCAACGACGCCTTTCCGGAGGAGTACGTGCCCACCGTCTTCGACCACTACGCAGGTAAGCCCCGGAACTGCTGACTAAGGGGCTGCTCCCCGGGCCGGGAACTTTGGAGCAACTTTGGCGGAGCCCCCTCGCTGCCTCGCTGAAGCGCGCTCCCTGCCCCCTCCCCCGCCGCGCCCTCTGCCTTGCACCCGGCCCCACCCCCGCACCTTTGCTTCCAGTCACCCCGCTCGCCTGTAGACCTGACACCCCCTTCCTCCTCCTTCCCTCCGTCCGCAGCCGTCTCCTGCTCCCCGCACTGCCCAAACCCCTCGGCGCCCTGGGCCGACCGCCTTGACCTTCCCATAGCCGCCTCCCCTACCGCACCAAGCCCCCGGGGAGACATTTGGTGGGACCCAGAGAGACGTGGCTACGGGACTTGGGAGAAGGGGGTGAGCAGCTGGGGCTATGTCGCACCCCGATCTCACGCCACTTCACAGTGAGCTGAGACCAAGGGAAGGCGAGTGACTTCTGCCGGGGAGCACCCGCACACCTCTAACAGGGTTGGGAGACAACGGTCCTGGCGGGGATCGAAATTGCCCCACAGCCCAGGTCATTGTGAGTTTCTCTCCCCGCCCCCACTTCTGTCCTTGCAGTCAGCGTCACCGTGGGGGGCAAGCAGTACCTTCTGGGACTCTATGACACGGCCGGACAGGTGAGTGTCTTGGCCCCTGGCCTGCTGACAACCCTCTCCCTTCCCCAATTCTGGGTGGCTGCGAAGGGCCTTTGGAAACTGAAGTGTCTGGGAGGGAGACCATGTCTGCGAGCCCCCCCCCAACACCACCCCCACCCCGCCCTTGGTCCAGCTCTTTATTTTTCTTCAAGTCGCCAAATTAAAAACCAAAAACAAACCCAGACCAGCACACCCATGGGCTGTGAAAGTTTTTGCCTGTGTGCGGTTCTGTATGGCGCCTGGTGTGTGGGTCCCAACTCCTGTTGCAAAGTGGCAGCGGCCAATGTGAAGCGCCCTTATTTTTAGTTGCGGATGACCAGGTCTTCCCCTCACAGCCGCTGTCTGGGCCCTCATTGGTGAGTGGTCTGCCTGCCCGAAGAGCCTGATTGGTGGGAAATGGCATCATCTAATATGATGGGAAGGCATTTGGTCCTGGTTATGTTTATTACAACATCACTGCTCTCTGGGACTTGAGTCCCTGAAAACGTAATTTGTGGTGTTACCAGAGGACCACAGGGAAAAAAGAAAAGAAACAACATCCAACCAGCCACTCCCTGGGGCGGGAGTAGGACAGGAAGGGTTAAGAGTTCAGTATGCGTTGAAACCAGCTGCCACAGAGTCGAGACAGACTTGTGGTGTTATTGTTTGTAGCTCATCTACATTTGGATTTCTGAATTGTGGGTCCAGGTTAGAGTCTGTGTTGGATTCTGAAAAATGACTTGGGATGCCCGGATGGTGGTCCCTGATTTCTAAACTGCTAGGTTAGAGGAGGGTCTAAGCTGGCAGCACCTGAAGCCACCCCATTCACCCAAACTGGTCCAGGTAGGTGCAGCCGGTCTGTTTCCAGGACCCCTTTTGGTTGCCTGCCTTGTAGCTGTTATTTATTCTCTCTTAATCAGAAGATGTGGAGGGCAAGAGAAATGAGGCCGAACTCAGTCAAACAAGACCAACTTGTAAGCAGTACAAGAGACTGAAATTATTGGTGCAAAGGAAGGAGGGTTTTAAAAATTATCTCTTGAGTTTAACTTCTCACACGACTTTTCTTCCCTTATCCCTTTTACTTGTCGCGATGATTTTTTTTTTTTACGATGAACTCTATTCAACAGGACATGTATAGTCAGAGCTGTTCTGTGTGTACTCAGACCCAACTAAAATTTCTGAGTTCCTTCTACATAGTAGGGCTTAGTGCAGCCACATACAAATATTACCCCATTTACTCCACAAAACAACCTGTGGGATAGGTGGTATTCCACTTTGGAAGATGAAGAAACAGGCTCAGAGAAGCTAGGTTGCTTGCCTAAGATCACACAGCTACTAAGGAGCGTCACTGGGATTAGGACTTGAGTCTGCATTTGCTCCAATTCAATATGGTTATACTTATAGGAAGCTGTGGGAGGTGCTGAGATCACCGCCTGTGTTGACTGGATTGTTTGAGTGCCCAGAGCATGATACCTGAAGCCTTCACAGCCATTCTGGGTGGGGGGTGTACATCACCTCTACAGAGGAGAGAACTTAAGTCCAGAGAGGGAAAGAACTTGCCCAAGATCTCCCAAAGCTGCGCCCATTTACAAAACCAAGGCTTTCCTTTGTCTCCATAATTACTCTTTCCAGTGGAGGATTGTAAGATATGTACCAAGCGGTATCAACCTATCGGTAAAGTTCAAACATTACTGCTTTGCTCAGGGGTGGGGCACCTACTCTGTTGACCAAGATGTGTGTTAGGCCCTCTTGGCATTTCTCCCAGTGTCTTTTACTAGGTTGTGCTAAGACTTTTGTTTTGGGGTCAAACTCAGTGATGATTTATCTTTCAGCATTTAAGGGCTTATTGCTAGTAAGCAATCTTAGCAAGATAATCAGGGATGAGACTAAATGATGCGTGCCCACCCTGTACCCAGTACTGTGCTAAGCCCCCCCGGGGGGGAGGGGAGTATAAAAGAGTACATAAATTTAAGATGGGAATCTGCCATGGCTAATTACAGCATACGTAGAAATGCCTGTATGAAGATGCCTATTCCTGTGTTATGAAGGGAATTTCTGTGTTATACTTGGTCATTAAGACCTCATACCTCTAGGATTCAGTATCTGATTCATCCTACAATAAAATACTATGTATGTGTATGTATACAAATGTGTGTGTGTATATGTAAAACCAAACCCATTGCCATCAAGTCAACTTCGACTCATAGCGACCCTATAGGACAGAGTAGAACTGCCCCATAGAGTTTGCAAGGAGCAGCTGGTGGATTCAAACTGCCGACCTTTTGGTTAGCAGCCAAGCTCTTAACCACTGCGCCACGAGGGCACTTATATATATATATATATATACGTTTAAGTTTTATGGGCATCAGAGGAAAACACGTTGGCTTTGGAACAAATAGGCTTGGGTTCATATCTGCACTTTGCTGTATTAGCTGTGTGACCCTAGCTATATATATACCTTCTCTGTAATCTAGTAAAAATGTGAATAATGAAAATCTATACTCAGGGTGAGTTGTAGGCTGGCTTAAATTGCTTAAAGTAATTTGTAAAAGCACTGTCCTTTATTCATAGTAGGTATTAAGTATTGTAAGAATAAGTATAAAAATAATAAGTATTATAAGAAAGGATTGTACTCCATTGTGGTCAGTTTCATGGGAGGAAGGGGCCCTAGATGGAAGAGGACAGTTACGCCTGGAGTTGATAGAAATTCCACTAGAATGCTAGATCCTAGAGCATTTTCAGTAGAGGTATGGAGCCAGCTTTGGGTTTTCTGTTTCCCACAGTAACCGTCACTGGACACTGGTCACAGTCGAGTGCTCCCTGTTATAAATGCCTCATTGGGCATCTGATGGTTTTCTTTCTAACCAGAGCGTGCATCCCCCGCGATGTAAGAGAAAGAGTTCTGTGTAGAATTTAAGAAACAAGTAGGATATATATAGGCTCCAGTTGGTTCTACGTCCCGAGGGGTGAGATGAGATGAGGAGAAAGCTCACAGCGCTGGAAAGCTATTGTTTTCCCTCCAAAACGTTCATGCAAGTGGGCTGACTCATGTTTGAATCACAGCCACAGTGCCTCCCTCTGGTTGGAACCTTGAGGCTACATACCTACCCTTGGCCGCCACTTTGACCCCCAAAACCAACCAAACCTATTGCCATTGAGTTGATTCCGACTCATAGCAACCCTATAGGACAGAGTAGAACTACCCCATAGGGTTTCCAAGGAGCAGCTGGTGGATTTGAACTGCTCACCTTTTGGTTAGCAGCCGAACACTTAACCACTGCACCACCAGGGCTCCTCTTTGACCCCAGTCAAGTTCAAAGACATAGGCATCACTTGCCCAATTTACATACTTGAGAACATATCATTTAGGTGATGGTTGTGGTACATGACCTTGCCAGAGCAGGCTTCTTTCCACTTGACCTCTGCTGCTATTAGCAGAGAGAGAGAGAATGAATATGAATGTGCATTGGGTCATTCAATCTCCATCACAAGCACTGCCTGGGGACATCCCTCAACATCCCCAACACAGTCACTAGCCTCTGCTGCCAAAGGGAAGCCCTCCCTTCTCTCAACCAAGCTCCCGGGTGGTGTCAAGGAGCAGCCCTGACATTTTGACTGCCAAGCATTTTGGAGTGGAAGTTGAGGGAGGTGTCTTCCTCACTGGGGGCCTTGTGGAGAGGTCTGGCCTCCTGCTGGGCCTCAATGGAGCTTCTTCCTTCTGGTCTGGGTTTCTGAGCTTCAGCAGACGCTCTGCAGCAGCTCCTTGTCTGTTCAGGGAGGGACTGGAGAGGTGAGATTTTCCCTCCTACCTCTGCACAGTTTAGATGAAGAGGCAGTGGGCAGAGTTCTCCCTCTCTGTCCAGACAAGCCAGTGGGGAGCTGCCTGGCAAGCTGCTCTCAAGCTGCAAGCTCCAGGCTGATCTCTTAATCCTTGGCAGGAAGGCAGAATTTGATACCCTGAAGAGGGAAGGACTGGAGCCCAGTTTGTCCTAGCTCCCAAAATACACTCAGGAGGATGTGTGTTGGGATGAGTTTGGGATTCCTAGAGTTCCCAATTTAGCCACTATCTTAGTTTGTGGAAATTCATACATGTGCTCTCAGGTGTGTTGGTACTGTGTTAACTCAAAACACGTACAGTTCAGGGATGCGTGCATGGGAGCTATAAATATCCTCATCTCAGGAGTCCTCTGGAGTGGCTTTATAAATGACAAGTGAGATCTGCTTCTTACTTGACAGAGCCCAGCAGCTGAGGCTGCCCTGCTAGCCCTCTGGGTGCCCCCGGGAGGCACTTCGTCTACGGGAGGGAATCTTCACTGGAGGCGGCCTCAGAATGCCCACCTTCTGCATTCCATGGGGTAGCACCCAGGGGCCCAGTGTAATGGGAAGGGAGGAGGGCAAGGGTGAGGGTCAAGCTCCTCCTGCTCCTCAGGACAGCATCCTCCCAGCATCCTCCAAGGGAGCCTTTTCCCAGGTGAGGAAATTGAGAGTGAGTGCTTATGGCAACTGGACAGAGATGTGATTAGGCAAAGGTTTTCTCTACTTGGGAACATCCAAAGGGCTTAGGAAATACCCCCTCCATCGCCCAGGCTCCAGATCCCTGAGGGACCCAGGGAGCAGAGTTAGGGAGGAGCCGCAGGGTTCCCTCCAGACATCAATGCAACAGGTGAGATGCTGGCACTCAGCATCCTGGTTTCCCTTAGTAACCTGCTGTAGATTTGTCGTCTGTGCATTTTGCTAACCTTTTTAGAAGCTATTTATATCCCCAGCCTGTACCACATCACACAGAAGCGCTGGTTTCCTCCTCTGCATTGGGCAGATGGATGGCCTGTGGTTACTCTAAAGCCTTTGCTGTTACTGAATGCCTTGACTTCCCCTTCTTTGGACCCCGATGTGGGTTTGTGTCTGTGCCGGCTCAGACCCTGGCCCGGCAGGCAGGGACCGTGAGGTGGGGGGTCCCCACCAGCTCTGCAGGTCTGGGATGTCGGCACTGAAATGCATCGGTT